GGGAGTGTGAGAGGAACCACACACTGATAATTCTCTCCCTCTCTTTCTCCTTCTCTTCCCCTCTCCTATTTATTTTAAAAGAGAATAAATAAAATCTTTTGTAAAAAGTCAATTTAAAAAAAAGAGAAGCTTTCTAGAAGTCACCTTTCATGAAAGACTAGAGACCTTGGTGGTCCTGCTTATGTGATACTCCCTTAACATTCTTCACTCAACATAGCAGGAGTAGGAGTTCCCCTAGGTATCCTCTCAATTATATCCATAATCCTCCCTTCCTCTATATGACAATTCTGTTTTTGCCTTAATAATAGGCTCACTCACCCCAGTCAGTCAGCACAATCAGAGGTATCTAGGTAAAAGTTTAACAGTAAGCTCTCCAGGGGTAAACTGCTGATTTGTAGAATTTGCTAGTTTTTACTGTGTAAATATTCTCACCCGGGCCAATTTTAAACCACCAATGTTATGTCACTGAATATAGGGTTGAGAAAAATGCACCATGGTATATGTAATAGTGCCCCTCCGAAGATGTCCACATCCTAATCTCTCGAACCTGTGAATGTGCTGTTTTGCATGGCAAAAAGGACTTTGCAGATGTGATTAAGTTAAGGATCTTGAGATGGGGAGATCATCCTGGGTTATGCAGGTAGGCCCAATGCAATCACATGGATGCTTATAAGGTAAAGAAGGAAGCACAAGAGGCAGAGGCAGAAAAAGATGTAGCAATGAAAGCAGAAGTCACAGTGATGTGACTAGGGAATGTGGGCAGCCGCTAAAAGCTGGAAAAGGCAAGGAACAGATTTTCCCCTTAGACCCTGCTAAAGGAACACAGCTGTGTTGATACCTTGATTTTAACTCTTTTTGGTTTCTGATCTGCAGAACTATAAGATAATGAATTTGTGAATTGGTGTTGTTTTTAAGCACTAAATTTGGGGTAATTTGTTACAGAAATGATAGGAAACTAATACATGCACAAAATTGACCCTTGTAAGCCTATATGAGCTGGCTCTAGCACACCACTGAATTCACCCTTTTTTTTTTTTTTTTGTCTGTTCACCTACTGTCATGAAAGCCCAAATTGGCAAATGCCAACCTTAGTTTCCAATCCAGTGAAACTATTTTCATGTCCTCTGGTGGAAGCATTTCTCCAGAAGCTAATAAAACATATGACTAGCCATGCTCAGAATCACAGATACATGAAAATAAACACTTAAAAGCAGTCAATTTGATATAATAGAATTGCCACTCTACATTTACCCTTTTTCTTCTGGGATCCATCTATTTTGGCTGTGAATGAAACACCACCACACACTGGTTACTGGTTCAGAACTGATAGTGTATCCTATAGGCTAGAATTTCAGTTTGGCAAGGAGTTGTCTTTACTTCTGGCCATTTATGGGCACTTTTGTGCATATTGGCCTACCTTTCTATTCCAGCCATTTTTGTGGCTACCAGGTACATGCAGGTGTGACCTGACAGTTCAAAACTTCAACTTCTTTCTCCAAGTATCTCTTGGCTTTTGGCCTTGGCTTCTCTCACGGAATTCACCTCATGGGATGACCGTGAGGACTTGCATATCCACGTGACTCATGTGTCACCCTGAAAGTGCCAACTTGAAAGTGCAAGGGAGTTAACCCTTGACCAGTGAAGACAGGAGCTGGTGAATGAATACTTCCTTCTTCCTTACCTTGGTTGGACCATTGAGAGGCACATTCTACTCGGCCTCACAATATTTACAGGGAAATAGACCCCCATGCGCCCAAAGCAGTGAGATAGATCGCTCATCCTTGGACTAGCTTTTCTGACTTACCTGTTTTGCTCTTCCTGGTCTTTGACTCGTGTTCCTTGGGATCCCTTCTGAAAATAAAATACTTGTTTGTAAGTCCTTGTCTCACACTCTGCTTTTGGGGGTAATTAAGTCTAAAAGATTTGGTAGTAGAAGTGACCTTAGAAAACAGAGTCCCCGGATGGAGTTCTGCAACTGGATCAGACAGCAACGAGGACCCCTTCTTGGTGGTACATGGAATGATGATAAGCCTTGACATGTAGTAGCCTCATAATTACTAAAATTCTTACCAATGGTATATTGTAATAAGATGTAGAAGGAAGGTGAAATATTGATTTAAGAGGAACAGTAGCATTTGGATAGTCTGGGCAATAGGATTATGGTGTCATTTGGCTTTTGTTACTGGCTGTTGAAGTCTTGAAAAACAAAGGACAGGATCAGGTTAGCTATCAGCGCAAATATATATGTCAGCTGCGGCTTGAGTGAGACACTGAACTACTTGTTTATTTCTCCTCCTTCAGTCACTTCTTTTGTCCCTTTTCCTGACTTCTCTGTTACAGTTCCTAAAAGTTCAGTCTTAGGTTCTTTATTTCTTGCGCTTTCCAACAATGAATTACCTTTGTCCCATGTCTTTAGTTATTACCTTCAGCCCAGTGCCTCTCTGGTGTCTGCCATCCTTTAATGTAGTTTTAGGTTCTTGAGTATCTGGCATCAAATATGCTAAATGACTGGCTTATTTCACTTAGCATAACATTCTCCAGGTTCATCCATACTGTTACAAAGGGTAAAATTTTCTTATTTTTTACAGATGAGAAGTATTCCATTATGTAAATGTCCCATAGTTGTTTTATCCACCCACCTACTGATGGACACTTGGGCTGTTTCCATATCTTGGCAATTGTAAATAATGCTGCAGTGAACATAGGGGTGCTTATGTTCTTTCAAATTAGTGTTTGGGGCTCCTTTAAATATCTGAGGTCTGCCTGGAGAAAGTCCAGACATTGTAACCTGGCAGCCAAGGAAAGTGGACTGGAATGTGCATGCATGAACAATGACAACTTCACTGTACTAGTCAGTGGGAGCAGTAGACACCATTGAGTGAGCATGTGTGCTGTGTGGCTGTCACATTCAAAATGACTGAGCAAGTAGAGCAACAAATCTGCATCAAATTTTGTGTTGAGCTTGAACATTCCTCCATGGAAACTACTCATATGATTCAGAAGGCCACAGCTTCATCACGACATTGCACCCACTCATGCATCACAGCTCATGTAGAGTTTCTTGGCAAAACAGCAGATCACCCAGGTGATTCCTCACCCACTACAGCCCAGATTTGGCACCTTGTGACTTCTGGCTTTTCCTAAAACTAAAATCACCTTTGAAAAGGAAGAGATTTCAGGCCATCCATGAGATTCAGGAAAATGTGATGGGGCAGCTGATGGGGATTGAGAGAAGGATGTGAGGTCCCAAGGTGCCTACTTTGAAAGGGACTGAGGCATCATTGTCCTATGTACAATGTTTCTTGTATCTTCTACAATAAATGTCTCTATTTTTCACATTACATGGCTGGATACCTTCTGGACAGACCTTATATTCCCAGAAGTGGGATCACTGGGTCAAAGGCAGATGCATTTTTAATTTTTTGAGGTATCTCCATACTGCTTTCCACAGTGGCTACACCAATCTGCAATCCCACCAAAACACAAGGGTTCCCCTTTCTCCACATCCTCGTCAGCACTTGTTGTCTATTGATTTACTTATGATAGCCATTTACTGGTGTGAGGTAATAACTCATTGTGGTTTTAATTTGCATTTCTCCGATGATTAGTGACACTGAGCATCTTTTCCTATGTCTATTGGCCATCTGTATGTCCTCTTTGGAGAAGTGTCTATTCAGTCCTTTGCCCATTTTTAATTGGGTTGTTTACGTTTTTGGTGTTGAGTTTTGTAAGTTCTTTATTAATTTTCACTATTAACCCCTTATCAGATGTATTGGTGAATATGTTCTCTCATTCTGTGGGTTATCTTTTTATTTTGTTGATGTTTTCCTTTGCTGTGCAAAGACTTTTTAGTTTGATGTAGTCCCACTTAATTTATTTTTTCTTTTTTTCCCTTTGCCTGGAGAGATATAGCTGATAAAATATTGCCACGAGCTGTCTGAGATTTTGCTGCCTATGTTATCTTTGGAGAAAGACAAATACCATATGATTTCACCCATATGTGGAATCTAATGAACAAATTGAATTAACAAGCAAAAGAGAGACAGGCTCATAGATAAAGAGCAGGATGACAGCTAAGGGGGGAGGTTGGGGTGGAGGGATTGAACAAAAAGGAAAATGGACTCATGGACACGGACAAGTGTGGTGATTGTAGGGGAGTGTGAAGAGGGGTATAGGGGACTAAACAGTAATGGAAAAAAATACAATAAAAAAACACAAATATGCTAAATGACTTTGAACAGTGTGTCAAGAAATTACAAGATGGCAGCCTTGCTAATTTTGGCTACCCTGAATCCAAGTTATCTATCCACTCCTTCAAGTCGGAGAGGGTAGGAGTGACTTCTAGTAGGACTGTAATATTATATCAAGGAACATGTATAAAGGACACATGGACAAAGCCAAATGGGGGTAGGATCTAGGGTGGGAGGTGGGGATGACTGGTGTGGGGGTAGTGGTGGGGGTAAAATAGAGACAACTGTACTTGAACAATAAAAAAATACATTTTATTATATCAAAAAAAACCCAAAAGACATATTATTTTTTTATTGCACACGTATATTTAACAACAGTTTTACACAGAATGCTAAGAGCACTTCTTATCTTATAGGACTTGAAATGTGGGCTTTCTGTTAAAATTCATACCATAGCACAGCCAAACCTAACTTCTAAATAAATGCATTAAAATTTGTTTAGAGCGTCCTGGCTGGCATAGCTCAGTAGATTGAGCATGGGCTGCGAACCAGGCATCGCAGGTTTGATTCCCAGTTGGGGCACATGCCTGGGTTGCAGGCCATGGCTCCCAGCAACCGCACATTGATGTTTCTCTCTCTCTCTCTCTCTCTCTCTTTCTCTCTCCCTTCCCTCTCTGAAAATAAATAAATAAAATCTTTAAAAAAAAAATTTGTTCAGAGCTTAAAGGCTTAATGTCAATAATGAAGGGAAGGAAAGCATAAATTTATTTTACATAAATGAATGAAAACTAAAGAAATAGTCAACAAAATTTAATATGGCCTCATACCCCCTGAAGGAGGCGGTGCCCGATTCGGAGGGGTGATTGCTATGTCCAGATAATCTCCTATCTGAAATTTCTGCGACTGCAGGGTCATGGAATCATCAGTCCCCTTTCTCCCAGACATGGAGCTGCCAATCTCCTTTACTCGATAGCCAGGTCTTTTAATACCCGTAAAAACAATTGCAAAATTGAAGTTCATGCCCTTCTTCCTGGCTTCTGGGTAGACTTCTTTTACTAAACTAGTCAGCTCTTTCAAGGTGGCATCCATCCAGGTGTAGATCTGCAACTCGCTAGAAGGCATGTTCCCGCGAGAGAACTCATCCATGCAGTGGTGGCGCCCGTTGTTGGTGGTGAAGACGCAGAGCAGCAGAGGGCACGTCTTCTCCCAGTCAGTTGGCTTTTCTGGTTCCTTAATTTCCTCCTGGGTGACACGCGACTCCACCGCCATCTTCCTCCGGTGGCCCGCAAGACGTTAGCTCCAACTTCCGACTTACGCAGCGAGCCGAACTGGAAGACCCTAATGTTATTAATATAACATTTTTATAGAGCCTACTCAATACCGATTCTTTAAATATATTAGTACTTTTTAATAGTCACAAAAGTTAACTATAATCCCCTTTGCAAATGAGAAAAAAATCAGTTTTCGTACTCCAAAGCCTCTTTCCATTTCCTAAGTGAATCTCAAACTGCAACAGTATTGTTTAAGGTTTTTTGTTTTTGTTTTTTAATTGCAAGTAACAGAAAACCAACTTGAGCCAGCTTAACAATCACACAACAAAGCGTTGGGAGTGCCTCGTGGAAACCTGAGCAGAAACAATGCCCTGGATTTAAGAGAGAGAATAAAGCCAGGAACTGGAAAGCCTTTAAGATTTGGGGGAGGAGGGATAGAAAACTGGGGGAGGAGAAAGGGAAAGGAAAAGCTGGGGAGACCTAAAAGATCATGCTCCGTCCAATGTCACTCAACTAGAATAGCAGCATTTTAAAGCATTTTACAAATTGAGCTGCATGCAAGATTCGATTTGAAAAAAAGTATTCACTGTATTAGGCAATACTTTTAAACTACTGGAGAAACATATGAAGCCATTCCCACATTGTTGCAGATTTGGGGGAATATTGAGTAAATTTACTCAGATGAAGAAAGTGTAAATGATAGAGTACTGAAAATATTAGAAATTTATAAACAATAGAAAGTGAATATAAATTAGCCAACTCTATGAACATTTCCAGCTAAGCATTCCTACAAACACATATTCACCTTTTTCTTTTGTATATGAATAACACATAAATGCCTGATATGATTCTGGCAAAAAATCAGACATGTTAAAAATATTTTCAAGTTTGTTTGTTTTTTTTAAAGATTTTATTTATTTATTTTTAGAGAGGGAAGGGAGGGAGATAGAGAGAGAGAGAGGAACATCAATGTGCGGTTGCTGGGGGTTATGGCCTGCAACCCAGGCATGTACCCTGGCTGGGAATCGAACCTGGGACACTTCGGTTCCCAGCCTGCGCTCAATCCACTGAGCTACGCCAGCCAGGTATTTTTAAGTTTTAAAGATGGTGTGGAATATGTACTAACAACAACATCTACATAAATGGAAACCCCTGATTTAATGCTATAATTTTATTATGCTGAAAGTATGGTTGGTTTTTAATTTTTTTAAAGAGATATTAGTATCATACACATTGTTTTTTTTTTAATAATTAAGGCATTTTATATACACAGTAACTCACTGTGGACAAAAACTTTTAGTATCAATTATTTGCCTTGATGTTCTAAACTTGCAAAGTCTCATCCATTTAGAGACCAGACTGACAGCTGTCTGAGGGGAAGGTGTTGGGAGCTGCATGAGAAGGACATAGGGTGTAAGCAAAGAGAAAAATGAAAAAGTCACAGATACAGACAACAGTATGATGACTATCAGAGGCAAAGGGAGGTGGGGGAGGTAGAGGAGGGTAAAAAGGGGATAAATACTGATGGAAGAAGATAACTTGAAGAGGTGAACATACAATACAATCTACAGATGATGTGTTATAAAATTGTCACTTGGAATCTACATAATCTTGTTAGCCAGTATTGCCCCAATAAATTCAGTATAAAAAAGAAAAACCAGTCTTTAATAACAAAGGAACAATATTATACTTACCATATTGTGTGTCTACATTATAACTGGAGGACAATAACAGTAACAACTAAAAATGCCCTATATGTTTCAAAAATTTAAAGCATACTACTAAACTGATCAAAGAAGGCATTATACAGGAAACCAGAAAATGCTTAGAACTGAATGACTTTAAAAATACTATGTACTGAGCCCTGGCTGGTGTGGCTCAGTGGATTGAGCTCAGGCTGTGAACCAAAGGGTTGCTGGTTCGATTTCCAGTCAGGGCACATGCCTGGGTTGGGGGCCAGGTCCCCAGTGGGGGCCATGTGAGAGGCAACCACACATTGATGTTTCTCTCCCTCTCTTTCTCCTTCCCTTCCCCTCTGTCTCTAAAAAAATAAAATAAAATAAAAAATAAAAATTAAAAAAATTTAAAAAATAGAAGCTAGGCTAAAATTTAAAGCACTGTGTTAAACTTAAGAAGTTAGACAAAGAACAACAAAACTATCAAAGAAAATAAAAGTAATGAGATTATAAAAATAACAGGATAAACTAAATAAGCAAAAAACAAATACATGTGATTTTTTAAAAGATTGATATAGCCAAAAGTTGATTTTTCAAGAAGAGTAATGAACTAGACAAGCCTTTGGTGAAATGATGAAACAAAAGCACAAAAAATATTTGGAGTAAAAATTAAGACATACTGCAAATACAGCAGAGAAGAATGATATATATGTATTTAAAGACTATTTGCCATAGCCAACCCTCTGGTCAACATAATTTACATCCACTGAGTGTGCAAAATATACTCACTTTCCTCTCAGGACTCCCAAAGTCTCATCTTATTATGGCATCAGCTCAGAATTCAGGATCTCAACATCTAAATGAGGTGCAGGTGTATATAAGGCCCTCCAGATGTGGCTGCTTGGGTGTGATTCCTCTTGATCTAAAAATCTGTGAAATAAGTAGCATAGAATGGTATTGCGGGGATAAGATAACTGCAACAAATACTTTTGTTTAAAAGAGGGGAAATAAGCCAAGTACAAGTTTCCCTTTCTTTGACTGGGACCCAATCCTGCTCCCTGGAATGATTCTCTGTGGCTTTTAGCTCTGCCTTCTGAACTTGTGGTTCTTTATTTTGAGCCATCCTTCCTTTTCCCTAAGAAGTGGCTCATATTTGCTGCTGTGTAGCTTTTACAGCCTGCTTCTTGCCCATAGAAAGTTGGTAGTTCCGAGGGATCTTCTTATTTTGAACTCTTTTTTATTTGAAGCTGGCAGTGCTTCTCTCTACAAATGCAGTTCTCCTAACTTCTTGTTTTTTCTGTGAATTTTATTTAGGTTCTCAAAAAACCACATCCATAAATGTCTTTAAGACAGGCCTCTCTCTACCTTGGTATGCTATAAGAAACACCCTGCCCTGGTTGGTGTGGCTCAGTGAATTGAGCGCGGGCCTGAGAACCAAAGGGTTGCGAGTTGCTTCCCAGTCAGGCCACAGGCCTGGGTTGCAGGCCAGGTCCCCAGTAGGGGGCGCTCAAGTGGCAGCCACACATTGACGTTTTTCTCCCTCTCTCCCTCCCTTCCCCTCTTTAAAAATAAATAAATCTTAAAAAGAAAGAAACACCCTGAAGACTCTTAAAAGCTCTCTTCTAGTAAGAAAAAGAGTCTAAGAGGCAATCTAGCATTCTTAGAAGAAAGCAGCTCTATAAAACATGCACTTAATACTTTTTAAAGTCTTAACAAAGAGTCTGAAAATGCACTCTTGATTTCATCTTTATCTTAAGACCACTCTCCCTTTGAAAAACGTTTGATGGCTAGAAAGACTGGCTGAGCCCTTCATGCATCCTCTAAGTTCTCCCGGAACACGTCCCTTTTCAGCTGCTCTCTTCCTTTTTATCATTGACAACCAGGAGAAGCCAGTTGGTACTGTGAACATTGTGCCAGGAAATCTCCTTAGCCAAATTCACCCATGTATTAAGTATACTTTCTATTTTGTGTTTTAGCACACGTGACATTCTTCTGAACTTAGATTGTTGGTTCCATGAAGGACTCTAGGGACAAAGTTAAAAGATGACAAAATGAGAATAGATATTTTCCATGTCTAATGCTAATAAGAGATTATTATCTAGAGCAGAGTTTGGAAAAACTCTGTTAAGGAACAAACAGTGAATATTTTATTTTATTTCGTTTATTTAAGTGTGTTTTTCTTTTTTTAACTGATTTAATCTTTATTGTATATTTTTCTATTACCATTTAGTCCCCTTATACCCACCTCCCGCTGGCAGTCACCACACTGTCATTCATGTCCATGAGAACAGTGAATATTTTAGATTGACTTTGTGGTCCAGATGGTTTTTGACAGAACTATTTAACTGTACTACTATTGCAACAGGAAAGTAGCCATAGGCACAGTAAGTGAATGAGTGTGACTTTGTTCTAATAAAACTTCATTTACATGGCCCTGGGCAGTTGGTTAGAGTGTCATCCTGATAGCCCAGAGTAGTGGGTTTGATCTCCAGTCAGGGCACATACAAGAATTAGCAACAATTGCTTCTTAGCCTTTTGACTAAGATTAAGTGAAGAATCAACCAATGAATACATAATAAATGGAAGAACAAATCAATGTGTGTGTCTCTCTCTCAAATCAATAATTTAAAAAAAAAACCTTTGTTTACAAAAACTGGAGGTGTGCCAGATTTGGCCTGTGGGCTATAGTTTACTGATCCCTGATCTTGAAAAGACAAGGAACTCCTACATATCAACAAGAAAAATACAGTAACTGCCATTTTAAATCATTGCTAGAAAGGGGTATGTATAGACAGTAGACAGAAGAGGAAATTCAGAGGGGTAAAAAGCATATGAAGAGATGTCTAAACTAAACTATAGTCAGAAATATATAAATTAACAATGAGATACTGCATGGCAGAACAATGATGGAGAGATGATGAGCTTCGCTGGGGAAATAAGAGCTCTTCATGATAGGAATGAAGGCCGGTTCAACTATTCTAGACTGCAGAATGGTGGCACATGGTCCAATAATGTGTATGTACACCTAATGGCCCAGCAGATCGGCTTTTGAATCTTTATCTCAATGAAATGCCCACACACTCCCAACTAGAATTTTATTTGTGGTGCAGAGGAGTGGAGACAACCTGGGTTCTTCTCATCTGGACGGTAAATAAATAAAATGTGGTGAACGTACACCATGGAGTACTTACCATACAGCAATGGGGAACAATGATTTGGTGTACACTTGACATTGGATGGATCCTGAACATACAAACAGTGCTGGTTTTAAAAGGTTAAAATAAATACAAACCACTTATGCAGGTTTAAAACATACGGACACAAAACACATTTTGCAAGAACACAAACAGAAAGATAGTATTAAACACATTACCGTCATTGTCTAAGGGGTGGGAAAGGAAGTGTGTTATGGAATGAAAGGATATGTCTCTCTATAGATAAACAGATGGACAAACAGTATAATTCACATCCACAAAATTCATGCATATATGGAGAGAGAAGGAGAGAAACATTGTTGCACAGACCAATAATGAAAATATGCCATGAAGAGAATAATTAACTGCGTCAGAGTCTAAAATGAAAATAACATATATTAACATGAGTTTTTATTTTTTTAAAGATTTTATTTATTTATTTTTAGACAGAGGGGAAGGGAGAGAAAAAGAAGGAGAGAAACATCAGTGTGTGGTTGCCTCTCACACACCCCGCACTGGAGAACCTGGCCCCCAACCCAGGCATGTGCCCTGACTGGGAATCAAACGAGCAACCCTCTGGTTCTCAGGCCAGCACTCAATCCACTGAGCCATACCAGCCAGGGCTAGGTTTGTCTTTTGAAGGGGTAAAGAAAGCAACTCTCTTGGAAAATGAACCTCAGTAGAGCTGTGAACCCCCCACCCAGCTCCCCAATCAAATCTGCCTGTTGGGATTAGCCATCTGCACAGGCTAGCCCGTGTCAGAGTGTGCTGAGTAGCATCCGAGTCAGCATGAGAAACATTTGAATAACAGTGTGTAATGTCTGCTTGAGATAACCAAGATTTGAATCAGTGTATTCTGAATTTTTAGTGTATATGGATGACAAATAAATGTAGGTTATATCTGAATTAGCCTACTCACGCACAGTGAATAGTGTAATTCCATTTTCATTAAAAAGTACTATTAGCCCTGGCTGGGTGGCTCAGTTGGTTGGAGTGTCATCTGGTAACCAAAAGGTTGTGGGTTCGATTCTCAGTCAGGGCACATACCTAGGTTGCAGGTTCCATCCCCCATCCAAGCGTGTACAATCTCTGGTTCAGGCACGTATAGGAGGCAACCAATTGATGCTTCTCTCTTGCATTGATGTTTATCTATCTACTCTCCACTCTCCCTAAAGTGATGAAAGAAAAAATGTCCTCGAGTAAGGATAAAAAAATTTAAGTACTATTACATTAGTATTTGCATACAAAATAGTTGTAAGACTTTGCTCAAAACTATTGACAGAGTTATCCATGGGGTGGATGTAGCAGACACTGGTCAACAATTCAATAAATCTTTTTCCTCTTCCTCCAGGGCACTCATTACATTTCTTAGCCTTCTTCACAGATAGCTATGGCCATGTGCCTGAGGTCTGGCCAATGGAATTGCGGACAATTCTTTATGCTATTTCTGCTTCTGTATCAACTTTAGAAATTCTGTGTTCAATCGAGATGAGGGCACAAGATGGAAGGAGTTGGGGTCCCTGAATCATTGATTAGAGGAGAGCAGTTTATTGCTCAGCGATGAAATCCTGTTTTGGATTTCAGAAGTGAAAAATAAACTTTTATTTTATTAGGCATTCGAGATGTCAGGATTTGTTAAACTGATAATATACATTAGCTCATACAAGAAGGTTATAGGGGACTTTGACACTCTACATTACACATTTGGGTATTGCTTGCACTTTGTAAAACTCTGTATTGCATTTATAATTAGCCTTGTATGCAATATAGATTTTTAAAAATTAGCACTTCATAATTTATAATCAATTCTTTCTCCTTGTTCTCTGATTGTTTCTTGCTTAGCATTTTGGTAGAAAGTTCAGAGTTGATGGTGTTACCAAATGTCTGTTTGTTCAAGGTCTATAAATACAGAAGCAGCTTGTTATCCGTTCTAGTTTTCCTTACTGAGGTATAATTAACATACCATAAAATTCACCCTTCTAAGTGTATAGTTCAGTTGTTTTTAGTGTGTTTTTGAGGTTGTGAAACCATCACGATTACTATCTAACTCCAGAACATTTTTCATCACCCCAGAAGAAGCCCCATACCTATTAGCAGTCATTTCCCCATCCTCCCACCCGGCACCAGACAATCATTAATCAATCTACTTTCTATCTCTATGAATTTGTCTATTCTGTGCATTTCGTGTCAGTGGAGTCATACAATATGTGGCCTCTTATGCCTGGCTTCTTTCACTAAGCAGAATGTTTTTAAGGTTCACCCATGTTACAGCATATATCATTCTTTTATTCTTTTTATAGCTGATTAGTATTTAATTTATGAATATACCACATTTTGTTGATTCATTCATCAGTTGATGAACATTTAGGTTGTTTCCAGTGTTTGGCTATTATGAATCAGGATGTTATGAACACTAGGGTACAAGTTTTTGCATGAACATATGTTTTCAATTCTCATGGGTATATACCTAGAAGTAGAATTGCTGGGTCATATGGCAACTCTATGTTCAACTTTTTGAGGGACTGCCAACCTATTTCCCACAGTAGCTGCACCATTGACATTCCCACCAGCAATATATCAAGGTTCCAGTTTCTCCACATTCTCTCTAGCACTTGTTTTTGTCTTTTTTTTTTAAACAGAAACCACTACGACTGCATCCTCTCCCTCTTACACTCTCGAAGGAAGAGAAGAATGATCATCAACAGCCAATAGTAGTTGCAAAAGCACCACCAACAGCTGCTTCACATTCAGGAAGAGCGCTGTGCCTCCTCCTTGTGGTTTCATGCGCTCTATGCATTCAGAAAAATTTCTCCAGTAACAAACTGTAGAAATGATCCCTGAAAGTATAGTCTTTGTCTGTCTTTTTGATCGTAGCAATCCTAGTAGGTATGAAGTGGTATTTCACTGTAGTTTTGATTTGTATGTCCCTACTAATTAATATCATTTCTGTTTAATCTTTGTGTATGTTTGTGTTGTGGTGGATTATATATTGAAAAAAACATAAAACACAGATAGAGTTGGTCTATTCTCTCCCAAATTTCTCATTCACCTCTTCTCCCCCACAACAAACACCTGTAGCAAGGTGGCTAGCTAGATTGGACACAGCTTGGGAGTCAGTGCTTCTGATGAGTGAAACTCATTAATACCCTTCTCTTCACCTCCACTTACCTATTTAAATCTGTCTTAGCTTAGGCTGCCATAATAAAATACCAGAGACTGGGTGGTTTAAAAAACAGAAATTAGTTCTCTCACAGTTCTAGAGGCTAGAAAGTCTAAGATCAAGGTGCTGGCAAGTTCAGTTTCTGGTGCAAACACTCTGGCTTGCAGATAGCCACCTTCTTGCTATGTCCGCACATGGACTTTCCTTAGTGCAAGTGGGTGCAGCGAGGGAGGATAAGAGTTCTCTGGTGCCTCTTTTAACATTTACTAGAGGTGAGTACAGTGAAACAAGGAGAGACAGGATAGATAAAGCAACAGGAGAGAGACTAGGTGGGGTTGCTGTGGCTCTAGGAATGTTTTGTGAAAGAAGTGATCCAAGGCAGGGCTACGGTCAGCTCCCTGGAGAATTAGTGAAAAGGGGGCTATGGAAACAGGTTCAGGGGGTTAACCCAGGATGAGCTGCTGCTGCCCATTGCTCCCCTGGTTGCAAGTCTTGTGGGGTCCCTTAGAGTTCAGGAGATGCGTGCCTCTAGGGGAAGAAGGGGGAAGGGAAGACGCAGGTGTGCTCCTGGGAGCGTGCCTCTGGTGCTGCTTCCTATTTATTTATTTATTCATAGAGAGAAGGGAAGGGAGAGAGAAAGAGAGGAAGAGAAATGTTGATGTGAGAGAGAAGTATGAATCAATTGCCTCTCACACACCCCCCAACGGGGGACTGAACCTGCAACACAGGCACATGGGAATCAATTGGCAACCTTTCGCTTTGTGGAACAATGCCCACCCAACTGAGCCACACTGGTCAAGGCTCTGGTGTCTTTTCTTATAAGGACACTAATATTGTCAGATCAGGGACCCACCCTCATGACATTTAACCTTAATTACTTCCTTAGAGACGCTATCTCCAAATACAGCCACACTGGGTGTTGGGGCTTCAACATATGCATTCAGAGGGGGACACAAACATTCAGTGTGGCTCTGAGGAACCACACTCCCAGGAACCGCCTGAGAAACAAAGTCTTGATCTATGTCCACTATTTGATTCTGGCATATACAAACCCATCTGATGGATCGGTGTGGCCCTGACTGACTTCAGGGAAGCTCAACTTCGCACTTGAGGGAAAATTCTGGAGGAGAAGGAGGAAGGCTACATGAGGCTGTCACAAGATGCCAAAGGGGAGTAATAAGGTCAGCGCACTACACGACACCAAGGACTCCATTCACATCGTTATCTATGTGAGTGGCGGTTCTGGAGTTTTTTGTATTACAAAACCTGTAAGACCATACCTGGGTGGGGGATCTGAATACAAGATATCAGTAACGACTGGGACCCTTTCTGAAACCTTTCCAGTCCAGACACTGTGGTGGTATGTCTGGGGAGGAAATTACCATATGCACGTGTTGAAAGAGTTGGATCACTAAATATCATCTCATTTCGGGGTCCTCTTTGCTATCTATGATATTCTGCTAATTGACTTTATTGTTCTTTTGCTATAGGACCCTGCTATTGAGCTTAATGGTAAGGGACTCACCCTGACCAGTGTGACTCAGTTGTTCGGGCATCACCCTGCAAAGCAAAAAGTTGCCAATTTGATTCCTGGTCAAGGCAACTGCCAGGATTACAGGCTCCGTCCTGGGTCTGGGCACATGAGAGAGGCAACTAATTGATGTTTCTCTCTCTTTGTCCTTCCTTTCCTCTCTCTCTAAAAATAAATAAATAAATCCTTTGGCTATAAGCAATAGACACCTACTCTGGATAACTTAAGGGAAAACATGAAGGAATTTCTTGAAATAAAATATGAAAATTCATAAAGTCAAAAGACAATTGGAGCAGCCAGAATTCAGGGAAGTTCTGGCTATGTAACAGAAATTAATAGAAAGTCTCTTCAGGGTGCTGCCCCTGCATGAATCAGCTTCAAGCATTTTCTGTCCTCCTGTCTCCCACTAAAATATTCTTCCAGAGGAAGCACTTCCAGTTGGCCTACTTGAGATTGGATGCCATCCTTTGACTAGGGAAAGGCAAAGAACAATGATTGACAGCCCCATCAAGCCAGTGTGCAGTGGGGGAGGAGGTAGTCTGCAAGGGAAGGGGATAGAATGCTAATAGAGAAAAACAACAGATGTTTTCTGCATTCCAACTGTGGGTTGCCAAGCAACGTCCTCCCACTTTTTTGTTAACATATACAATTTTTTAAATGCCTTTGTCTAACAATATAATTATTTGATATGCAAACAAAAATACACTCAGCTCCTTCCAAAAGGAGACAACCCATGTCCAGTTATAGCATCCATTCCTTCCCTGGTTCCATCAAGATCCCTCTGCGTATTGTGGAATTTGTGAACCAAAATGACAAACTTAACCATTACCAACCCACACCATATGCAATTCTAGGGAAAGAGAAAAAGAAAGAGAAGGATAATTACTTTTAAGTATATCTGGCCCTGGCTGGTGTGGCACAGTGGATTGAGTGCCAGCCTGCAAACCGAAAGGTTTCCAGTTTGATCCCCAGTTACGGCACGTGCTTGAGTTCTGGGCCAGGTCCCCAGTTGGGGACATGTGAGAAGCAACCAATTGATGTATCTCTCACATATCAATGTTTCTCTCCCTCTGTTTCTCCCTCCCTTCCCCTCTCTCTAAAAAAAAAATAATAAAATATTTAAATATATCTGGCTTTCTTCATATTACTGTATGTAAATAAGTTTGAGAAGTTAGTGTTTCTCCTTTGCTCTTACAGTCACACTTCTCACACCAGATGTGCTCCCCATTTCCCAACAAGCAAGTGTCTATGACACTAGCTGGGTGTCCTACAGTTTAAATCATTTCTAACACTATCTACCTAGAGATAGTGTCAGATCCCACAGGTTCAGGGCTCAGTCCTATAAGATTGCCATCCCCTTTAGATACCAATTGCAAGTCCGGTTTGTCACTTGTGCTTCTGACCAGCTGACTATAAATTGAAGGTTCCCACACCTGTTGCTGGTGGGATTGTGAGAGAAGAATTTCACGGACCCACACATGGAAGATTGTGGTATGGAAGGTTTATTCAGGTGGAAATCTGCCCCTGGGTTCCCAATGTCCCATCTCCATTCATCCCACCGTGGAAAACATCCAACTGTGTCTTCAGCAAGGCCAAAACAAAAGCTAGTTTCTGTTTTATATTAAAGCTTAGTCCTCTGGAGCCCATGAAGTCTGCTGCAGGCCCCCACTGCTGCTAGACACACATGGTTGTGTGTGTTCCTGGGCAAGAGAGAGAATGCACGAACAAACGGGGCAAGTGCAGGTCACTGAGCGGGAGAGCTTCTTTTTGTTCCCTGGAACTATAACCAGGAGCTTTTTCAAAATAACCAACTTCCCGAGGCTTTTGATGGGTTCACCCCCTAGTTAGACTGACAGACCTCTGTGGCCAAGCACCTCCCCTTACACCCCTCAACAATCCAGTACCAGAGGGCAGACAGCACTCCTCAGCAGCAGTACCCTGGACTGTGTGAATGAATCTGTATATGTTACAGCTTCCTACCAAAGCAAGCAGGCTTATAGTCCCCAGTTTATTAAGCTCAATGTCTAATTACCTTTGCTCCCTTTCCTATTAATACTTAACCAAACTATCTATGGTAACGCAACAATCTTCTTGGGTTTGATTAATTTGCTAGAGTGGCTCCAGGACTCAGGAAAACCTTTTACTTCCTTGTCATCAGTTTATTATAAAAGGAATATGATAAAGAATACAGATGAACATCCAGGTGGAAGAAATACATAGGGTAAGGTATGTGGTAAGGGGCAAGGAGCTTCCATGCTCTCTCTGGATGTACTAGTCTTATACTATTAGGATTTTTAGGAAGGCTTTATTGCATAGGTATGATTAATTATTAACTCAATTTCCACCCTCTCTCCCCTCTTTGAAGAATGGAGGGTGCGGATGAAAGATCCAAGCTTCTAGTCATTGCTTGGTCTTTCTGGTGATCAGCCCCCATGCAGGAGCCCACTAAAAAGTCACCTCATTAGAATGAAAGAGACTGCTATCGCCCAGGAAACTCCAATGGATTTAGGAACTCTGTGTCAAGAATTAGGGTCAAAGACCAAATATTAGATCAAAAGATGCTTCTAGTGCTTCTTATTAGGAAATTACAAGGATTTGAGAAACTCTATGCTAGAAACTGGGGCAGAGAACAATATGTATATTTTCTATCATCTTGCAAAGTTATTATGCCTCAAGACAAAAAATATCCATGACACAACAAGGAAGAGGAGAAGAGGCAACAGTCCTCATTCGTGGAACTGCTTGTGGTATTTATGACTTCTCTCCTCCCCCACCCAATCCACATTCTCTTGTCCACCGACCAGGTCCTCAGTTGATCTCGTGCTTTGCCAGGTCACTAGCCTACATTCAAGATAGCACCCAGTGATTCTCACTTCCTGCTGTTTGTGCCCTCTCAAATTAAACAGATCCTAGAATATTTTAGACTACTGAGATTGAGTCCTCCCTGGGATAGCTACATCATCTGCTCTCATGCTTACCACCTGGTTTTTACTTCTTCACTTTGGTCCCTGGAGATTTCTCTTTCTTCTCATAAGCTTGATTGAGCATTTCCTTAAATTTTAGCCAGTATTTGTAAGGGCTTATCATCAGGACGTTTTTAGGTTACCAGATGTTACAGACTGCTGAGGTTGGAAGTCCCATGTGTTTACTTTTCTATCTCCC